TGAATTTTTTCAAATGCTGAAATAAATATAATGTGATAATCATTCAGCTTTTCTCCTTTACTATATTAATAAGATGAATAACACTGATTGTTTAATGTTAAACCAATTTTGTATTCCTGAGATGAACACTATTTGATCATGACTTATTATCCTTTTAATACACTTCTATTTCATGTATTTTGTCCAGTTTTGTAGTTGTTTACAATGAGAGTTCAAATCCAGAACCAGTTACTCCCATATGGCTGGAAATACACCCACAAGTAAGCATTAACTTTAAGCCATGGTAAACTGCGAGGAAAGTCTAGCAGTTACCAAAGTAGGTGATGGTAAGAAAAAAGCCGTGTAAGATCCCACAAATCCTATTTCTCATTTTTTTCTCTGTCTGTTCTTGAAATAAGATATATACACGTGACCTAGTCCAACTCCAGTCAGAAAATATTTATTAAGCCTCTACTTAATAACAATTAACCCACAAACTGAAATAAAACATACTCAACTCCTGCTTCTTTAAAAGTTTCCAAGTTATAACCAAAGAGACAGCTACAAGGTTCGTTACCAATGAATGCCTGTTAAATTAAAATGCATGAGTAACATTTGGAGAGACACGTATTCAAACCTAAAAGAAAATCAAAATCCTGCATTATACTGCTTAATATAGACATGTCATCATGCAATGCTAAGACAAATATCAGAAGTATCATTGCTTTCTTGAAAGTTACATTGCCTATCTTAAGAAAATCAAAACTAGTAAGTCAGGGGAGGGTATAGCTCAGTGGTAGAGTCCGTGCTTAGTATGCACAAGGGTCCTGGGTTCAATCCCCAGTACCTCCATATAAATAAATAAACAAACAAACAAATTACCTCCTCCCCCCCCAAAAAATAAATAATTATGCCTTAGAAGAAAAAATATAGTATTATTTTAATCTGTAAAAATGGTTAGCAAACTATTTCAAGTGCACAGATACGTATGCATTAAATAGCTTTAAAATTAATAGCAGAAAGAGAAAATACATATAATATAATGAATAACTTCCAAAGGTCTTTTTCCTTTTTTCATTTACAGAGACCTTGGGGCTTCAGGCAGACAGAAGGCAGGCTGCCAGTGTCAATTCACACTTAAGCAGAACTTTTGCCAATGAAAACTGAAACACCTGTATGAATTAACTAAATTGTTCCCATTTTCAACAATGAAAGGAAATTAAAAGCATTACTGAATGTCACTGACTTGGCTCATCTGAAAGGAAATAACGTAGATAACACAGCTAATTTTAAATTATCAGCCGATACAACATAAATGGCTCTCTAAAACAGTATTAGTCATTTTTGCTATGACTCATTCAGGTTTCCTGAAATGTGAGGATAGACTATCGCAGGAACAGCATGACATAATGACAATGTTAAAAAAAAAAAGTATTCCTTTTAGGACAATCTTCTGACATTGCTGAATCAAAACATTTTCCCAACATACCTCACATATATTTCAACAAGCTACACCAACCTGAAAACACTGGCAAGAATCCTTCCAAAAAAGAGAGTTCACCATTGTTTTAGTAAACTTTAGGACAGCTGAACAAACGTGAAGGAAATTCAGGACCGATAAGCCATTCATTTGTTAATTCAGTAAGTATTTATCAAATGTCCAATAACTGTGGTTCCTATCCCTCCAAGTGCTCACAATACTCTGGTAGGTGTGGTAAGATTTCGACTGTACTTGCTCTTCTATTAACAGAGGAAGAACCTCACAGCTTCAACAGTACAGAAATCGAGACCCTGGCCACCACGCTGCAGCCAGAGCAGGGAAATGGATGCCCAGCGAGGAAGGAGATGCTGCTTCTTTCCTGGCTACTCCCTTCTCTCCCACATCGACAGCCAAAAACAGGTCTTATCCAATTAGGAATTCCTATTCCTTGTAAATAGTAATGCTCCCCTACACCCTAGTGACCAGATAACCTGACTCACCACTGAATGCCACGGGTGCACCAGTCTCTACCTACTCCGAAATATTTTCATCTACATTCTGTAATTTGATCCTGAAAACAAATCTTCAGTGCCAAGGGAGGGATACACCATTCCTTCCCTCATTTTACAGAAGATGTATTTTAAACAGGAGGTTATCCTTACCACCTGGTAAGATACACCGGTAGTACACTGGGGAATAGTACTCCCCAAATTTCAGAACTAAGTCCTGCTCCGGGTTCTAGTGTACTTCAGTCATTCCCATATTCTGCACAGGTTTCTTGAGCAACAACTGTGAGCACAGTACTGGTGCACTGTAGTAGGCCTTAGAGAAAACCCAGAGAAGAACAGAGACCAGACTTTAAAACTGGGAGTTTATAGTCTTATGGGAAAGATAAGACATATACATAAATAATCACAATAAGCCCAAATTTGATCCTTGTTAAAAGAAAGTTCAGAAGCAGGTAGTACCTAAAAGTGGTCCCCCTTGCCTCAACTGCTCCTTTGGAGTCAGACACGTTATAAATAAAAGATATTTATGTACAAGATATATCATTATATAGGATAGAAACTTCAGTGAAATTCTTCATTGAAACCAGGGGTCACTTCTAATGCACCTTATTACCCATTTCAGAATCACGCACAAAGAAGGGTTAAGAGGAAGGACTGATAAGGGCTGATTTGGGTTTTTCTGCTGTATTCTGTATGCTTCCTTTAGGATTAAAAAAAGGAATGGATGGTGCACAGCCCAAAGGATGCATGTGGCTCCGAAAAGCCCTCCTCTCACTTGTAAGTTCCTTGCCTTACTTCTTACCAATTAAAGATTTACTTGGGATTAGAAGTAGAAGAGTGAGGCCTGGCACTAGGAAGCACTGTCACCGAACAGCTTTCCTGCAAAAAGAGATCAGTCCGCAGGCCAGTTCTGCTTTGGAAGAGCTGGAGGAGGAGAGCAGGAGAATTATGTATGAGAAAGGCCCGGGGCGGTGGAGGGGGGGTACAAAACCCGAGTTCACGAGCTTCACTGCAGCTAGGCGGGATGAGTGACCTACCAGCAGAGGTTACCTGAGTTAATTATTTCACAAGTACCTCACTGTACAGAGGAGTAAGAACAGGAAAAGAAATTTTTTAAAAAATCAGAAAAGAAGTAAGGTTAAGGAAAGGAATAAACATATCCCACCCAGAAGAAACAATTTTTTAAAAAATAACTGCTTAAAGAGTATTTTAATGTGTTTTCAGGATGACTGCAGAGAACGCAAACACAATAAACTCCTCACGAGGCCCATCCCAAGAAGATGTAACAGCTGACCATCCTCCCCATGAGAGGCCTGCAGGAACACCTCCTGTCATACACTGCATCCTGTTGCCGCAGTCATCAGAAGAAACCCAAGCATCCTGGTCATCATTTATCATACAGATTCTAGGTGACTGTCCCCAACCAGCTCTGCACTTCCCTGCACTGACTCCAGCTCCCCACCGTTCCAGACCCTCTGTGCCCTTTCCTGTGTCTCATGTCGGGAAGACCCATGTTCAACACCACCTCCACTGAGATCTTCCCCCTACCATCTTGCCAAAAACAGCCATGCCCAACCCATTCTCACCCCCTTACACTATTCTCCTGAGCACGTCTATTAAATATCCATTTCTTTGTCTATTGTGAATTTCCCCCACAAGAATGCAAGTTGATGTAAAATCCAAGAGGGAAAAGACTGTTTACTGCTGTATCTCCAACAACCAGCACAGTGCCTGGTGCATGCTAAGCACTCAACCAACATCAGCTGAATGAATAAGTAGGATGTACATAATAATTTTTTAAGTATATCTTTTAAAAAATGCTTAACACTTTACTTGTCAAATTCCTTATAGCACAGGTAACAAATAATTAGGGACATTCTACACAGTTACCGAAACACACGTATGCTATAACGCAAAACAGCAGATTTCTAAGGGTACTGAAGTGGGAAAATGAAACAGGCAACCAAGGACTTAAGAGATTAGCATCCAACCAGTTCCAAAACTGTATGTAGAAAACAGTAATTTGCAAAGTTGATTATTACACTACAAAGTAAGCAAGCTTTTCTTTCTACCAGATAAGAGTACTTTGTTCTTGCCTTATCTGAAAAATACCAAAAGAAGAAAACACCAGAATTCTAACTTGATTCCTAACTACGGTAATAAAAATGCCTTTGAGAAGATGATATATCTTAAGCAACTTGTGTTCATTAAAGACATGTCTTATCTTCTTGTTATCCCTTAAGCTAAAAAGATACTGACTGACCCCTTGCTTTGTGAGTTTTCTCTTCTCCAAAAGCCTTCTTTGATTGGGAATCCTCAAACATCTGTTACTCTGTCTTTCCTTTACACTCCAACTGTGGTTTTCATCTATCAACTTTATTTTCCTTTATTTTCCCATTCCTTCTGTATTTCTCTGTAGTGAGGTGACTACCCAGCTATTCCACTGAAACCATCCCAGAGATCAGCAGAGCATTCCCTGAACCATCACCACTGCCCTCCTCCTGACCGCTCACCATTGTGGAAATCTGACAAGCAGCCCACGCTCTCAACACTGCCTCTGATTCTATCACCCATGCTCTCCCAGGTCTGCTCCTCCCTCTCTGACGTCCTCTTCCTTATCTCATCGGTGTAGCATTATCCTCAATTTCAGAAGAAAGAGGTACACACTCTACTGGGTTTGGAGTGAAGATTCAAACTCTTGATCTGTCACTTCATTTATTCTTTCAACAAGTATTTATTTAGTGCCTGTTATGCGCAACACATTGGACCGGTACCTGGGATCAATGAACAAGAAATATTTGCTCACTGCCCTCAAATTCAAGCAAGTACAAAGCAAAATGCTTGTATCTAAATAAGCAGCAAGATATATGCAGCCTGGAAACTAAAATGATGAGTTTTATTTTTTTTTCTCTTTAATTTCCTTAGGTGGCAGTGTTTCAACATGAGCAATCTGAGGCAAGAACACAGCAGAAGCAAAATAACTTACAAGGAAAAAAAAGAAATGAAACGGAAAGGAAAAAGACATTACTCACTGATGTAAATGCCAGCAGCTCCTCTTCAGTTAACTTATGCACTGGGTTATTCTTTTGGAAATTTGTGCTTTAAATTAAAAGAAAAAAAAGCAAATTAATCCCAGAATGCATGTTGTAATGAATGAAGTATGATTTTTAAAAAGTATAATTTTTAAAATTTAAAAAATTTTATATATTTTGAAAGCACATATTTCAATATTAATGTACCATATACAAATGTAGAGATGAGAGTGCCAAAGATAAACACAAAAAAGTAATAAAATGCTAACAAATAAGCTGTGGCTGGTGCACTAATGTCAATGTAACTTCTTTTATAAGGAAAAATGAAATCCAATCTGTGCTACTCCACAAAGAAAATAAAAAGAATTACTATGGCACTGACTCCTATTTATTAAATTTAAACAAAGAAAATTTACTATAACCATGTAACAGGCAAAGATTAAGAGGTTGTCACAGAGGCAGAACAATGGAAATTCGTAGATCCTGCTGATTCAAGTATGACTTGGCCAAATCATTTTGTATAAGAACCACACGCTAACCGATTGCACAACTGGAGCTTCTTGGTCGAATCATTTTGGAAAACAACTGAGCACTGTTTTGTAAAGTGAGCGTGCACATATCCTAACTTCAGTAATCCCAGCCTAGTACGGAGGCCAGAGAAATTCTTAAACAGGTGTACCAGAAGTATACACAAATACCCATAGTAATATGGTGTATAATAGGAAAAACCTGTTAATAATTCAAATGTCCAAAAAAGAAAGTAATAAACTGTAAAGTATTCACCCAATGAAAAGCTATACTGCAAAGTAAACTGCTCCTACGTATAACAACGTGGATGAAACACAACAGTGAAAGAAGAAAGCAAATCACAGAAGACTACATATTGTAAGACAGCATTTTTTATAAAGCTCAAAAAGAAACAAGATGAAGCAACTGACTTAAAGGCATAAAAGACATGTGAGTAAACATATTTTCTCAAAAGCCAAGAAAATGGCAAAACGCAAAACTCGGGACAGTGATTACATTTTAAAGAGAGGCAAGAGGACAGATGGGAAAGAAGCACAGACTGAGCTCATGGTATCTGCAATCTTCTAGGTCTTAAGTTGGGTGGGGGGTTCATTTTATTATTACGCTATGTAACTTACATTTATATGTTACACTAATTATTTTGTATGTAAATATTCCTCATATTAAGAATGAAAAGAAAGTACCACCTCACAAAATAGTACCATGTCCTTGAAATTTTCAATGTTGTTGGAGGATTTTATAATAAGCATAAAATGTTCACATAATAATGGTTAAATGAACATATTTTTACTGTTGGTAAAAAAAAAGAGTGGAAGGGAAGAATTATGAAATCATTTTATGTTGTACACCTGAAATTAATACAATGCTATATCTCAATTTTATCTCAATTAAAAACACATACATACACACAATGCATGCACATACATACTTAGACATTACTGGTTTGACTACACAAAGGAATTATGTATCAATTGGCAAGATGAGCCAATTAACCCCTAAGGTCCTTTCAGTTCTAAGACATGATTCCGTAAGTGAACAAAGTAAATAGATAAGTAGAATAAAAGTCACTCTACAATAAGAACCTCATCCAAAATGGATCAACATTCAACTCTCACATACAAAATTCCAATCCTAACTTCACTGCATAAAGTATATAAAGTGAAATGCTACAGGCTCATTACAAATAATTATGATACAGTAACTCTAACAGGCCACCACAATTCACCATGATTTACTGACTTAGGCTTAGCAGGTATTCCTCTGCAATCTGAAAGTCAGACTGTTCATTCAAAAGGAATTACCATCCCCACTCCAGTTGTCTGAATTACTGAAGGATCACTGTACTTTAAGAAATTCCTCCCCACAATTACTTTACATAAAAGCAATCAGGTATACTGATATATGAGACATGGGACAAGTTCTAGCATGGGGTCTTCAGGTAAAATCAAACTCAAGCAGGAGGCCAGTGAAGAGCAAGAATGAAAGAAAAGGAGCATGAAGCTAGCCCCATGGTCTGGCCAATCCATGATCTGTAAGAATTCACCCTATGTCTCCTTTCCAAACAACCCAGCTTCCCACAATGTCCAAGTCTCCTCTTCATAGGGGCTAATAACCATGGAGATCAGACAGAGATCAGGCAGTATCACAAAACCACTGTTTACAACCCACATAGTAACTCAGTGCACGCGGATCATCAATTCATTGATGTTTTAATCCAGAGGTTTACAAATTGCAGCAGATGCTCCAAGATTCAGAATATAATCAAGTAGTTTCTACCAAACAATGAAGATTTAAATTGCCCATGAAATACATTCAACACTTTTTAACTGTTCTATGTATTGAGATACTACCAAGATCATATTTGGGGACAAAAATAGTATTTGAAGACAAGCATTTTCTAGGTTTTTAGTCCTCTCTCAACTATGAAGTCTAACTGAATATAGCTAAACTTCAACTGAGAGAATGACTAGGAAAACATATATTTGGTTTGATTTAGTTTTCTGATGAGTTGACAATGATGAATTTGCCAAATTATTTTAAGAAATAGCATAAAGGAAAACAGAATTTGAGTCAGTAAAATCTGGATTCAAGCCCTAATTGCTGCACTATAATTCTGAGTGAGTCATTTAGTCATTTGAACCCTGATTTCCCACCTGAAAAGTGACAAAAACAAGAACTTCTAAGATTGTTAGAACATTAATGAGGGCTAATGTGAAAGCACGTGGTATAATTCTGAGCACATAATATTGCTTGCAACTGGTTGCTGTTTATATCATTTACATACTAAGTATCATGAACGAAACAAGTAATTTTTCAGAAGTAAGCATAAATTCTGTCACTGGAATCAAATAATGTGATAGGACAAATGAGCTGGATTTAGAAACAGAATTCTATATGTGTGATCCTTTTTAATCTAACAAAAGAGGACTGTAGAAGCGAATTTAACTTTTGTATAAATAAAAGACTACTGTTAGTGTAAGGAAGATAAAAGCCTATGAGGTGAACACAAAAAGATAAATTCTACTGAGTTAGAAGACAATTTTTTAATAAATGTTCCCTTTCTTAAATTGCTTATTCCTAATTTAACCAGTCTCAATACTGTAACTTTGTGAAACATCCTATTTTGAAAATTGCTAAATCTCCAGATGGGAAATGGGATTTTACGTATTCTAAAAGAACCATGTTAATTAATTACAAAGGTAAAAAGAATAACTTTACATTGGAGAAGCCTGTGTAATCATGTGATCAAAGTTAACATCAACAGTAGTGGAACAAATCTTAATTGTGTTCTACCTGCTGGGAGGCAATAAGAACCACAAAACCTTACTTGTCTGATACCCCTGCTAATGATGTCGAATGTGAATCTAATTATATATATATATTTACATATTCTTTTTATCAGACAAACTCAAACTGAGAGAAACTATACCGAATAACTGGCTTATAAATTTCAAAAGTGTCAAGATCATGAAAGTCAAGCAAAAATGAAGAACTATTCTAGATTGACAGAAACTGAAGCTATATGACAACTAAACGTGACACATATGTTCTAGACTGGATCCTGTGCTATAAAGGAAATTATTGGGACAACTGGCAAAACTTGAAGGAGGTCTGAATATTAAATGATCGCAAAGTGTGGAAGTTAATTTCCTAATTTTGATAGCTGTATTATGGCTATGTACAAAAATTTCTTGTTTGTTGAAAATACACACTATTCAAGGGTGATAGAGTATCATATTGGCAGATTATTCTCGAAAGTTCTTCGCAATGCCTTGCTCTTGCAACTGTTTTCCAAATTTGAAACTATTTCAAAATTGAAAAATAAAACAAAATAAAATGAAAAACTATTTCTACCACACACAAGGTTCTACTGTATTAAAAAATAATTCTATCATTTGAATGTAAATATCCTTAAAGGCCAAAACAGTCACCAATCCTAAATATTTCATTGAGTCTATTCCTAGCTAAGGCTAACCAAAAAAATTTTGTTTATGAGGGAAAAGAGAAGAATAATATACCAACTTACAAGGGATTTCTGAGATTCTTAATTTCGAATCCTTTAATTGGTTGCACAACTATTCTTGATCTTCATAAGCCATTATGAGATTCCCTATTCATCCAGAACTCTCAGGACCTGCTTGAGCAAGGATTTTCACAACACAAGACAACCAGTATGCAAGGAGTTCAAAGTAGCCAAGTAAGTCATTACTTACCAGACTCCAAGGATAACAGCAAGCTCTTCAGCACACAGGTCGGGCATCTGAAACTGTTCGCTATCTGCTAACTTTATCTCATTTAGAACAGTATCATCACTGAGCTCAAGATTCTGGTGGAATATCAAAGAAAATATTCAAAACAAAAATTAAATTTGATTCATTTAACAGACTATATGCAACAGATTGCTAGGAAGGATAACTTATCTTTCTGTTTAAGATTTTACAATGTCTATATATGGTTCATAGGCTGCTTCTTGTGAAACACGTATCTGTGGACAATTTGCTGTGCAGAAATGGAGAACATGCCATCTATACCTCAGGAATGCACTGACAACATCAATATCAGGGAATATCAGCTATCACTGGGGAGGGTATAGCTCAGTGGTAGAGTGCATGCCTATCATGCACGAGGTCTTGGGTTCAGTCACCAGTACTTCCATCAAAAAAATAAATAAGTAAACCTAATTACCTCCCCCTGCAATAAATTAAAATAAGTAAATAATAAATACATAAATAAATAAAATAATAGGGAATATCAGCTATCATTGATTGAGCCTAGTATGCAAAAGTCCCTTTTACTGATGCATCAGGATTCAAAACAAATCGTTCTACTCTGCTTTTAAATCTTAATCCAAAACCTCAATTCCCAACTCCATTTCTCATCAAGATCTAGAATAGGCAAAACAATGAAAAAAGAATAAAACCTGAAGACTTAGAGAACTTGATAAAGTACTTAATTTCAAGAATTACTACAAAGCCAAGACAGTGTGCTACTGGCAACAAAGACAGACATCTAGATGAAAGAAACAGAAAGTAGTCCAAATTTTAAACCCATATTATATGGTCAGTTGATTTCAACAAGGCGCCTAGCTGCTTCAACAGAGGAAAGTCTTTTCAATAAATGGTGTTAGAACAACTGGATATCCATTTGGGGGAAAAGTGGCCCTCCACCCTTATCTCATACTGTACACAAAAATTAAATCAAAATTGATCACAGACCTTAATGTGGAAGCGAATACTAAAAAACTTCCAGGAAAAAAATCATAGGAGAAAAAGCTTTGCAACTTTGGGATAGGCAGACTATCCTTAATCAGGACACCAAAAACCTGAACCATCAAAGAAAAACTTAATACAGTGGACTTCATCAAATTAAAAACTTCTGCTCTTTGAAGACATCATTAAGGAAATGAAAAGCCAACCTCTAAACTCAGAGAACATGTTCACAAAACAAAGATCTGAAAAAAGGTTTGTATTCAGAATATGGAATTACAACTTGATAATGAGAAGATAAACAACACAATATAAAAATGGACAAAAGATATGTACAGACACTTCATAAAAGAATGGCCAATAAGCACAGAAAAAGATTCTCAAAACAGTAGTTAACAGGGAAATACCAATTAAAATTAGAATTAACTAGTACACACACTTTAGATAAAATTTAAAAGACTGATAATAGTAAATATTGACAAGGATCTGGAACAATTAGAACTTTAATATATTTCTGGGTAAAATGCAAAATGGTACAACCACAGAAAACAGATTGCTAGTTTCTTACAATAGCTATCAGTTCCACTCCTAAATAGTTACCCATGAGAAACAAAGACATGTATGTAAGTGTTCACAGCAGTTTTATCTGTAACAGCCCCAAACTGGAAACAATCTAAATGTCTGTCAACAGGTAAACAGATTAAAAAGAAAAATTATGCTATCTCCATTTAATGGAATTCTAATCAGCAAGAAAAAGGAAGGACTGACACATGCAACCACATAGATATATCTCAAAAACAACATGCTGAGCAAAAGAGGCCAGATACAGAAGAGTACATACTGTATGGTTCCATTCACATGAAATTCTAGAAAAGGCAAACTATCTATAGTCACAGAAAGCAGATCACTGACTGTTTAGGACCAGAAGGGGTGGGGGATTAATTGCAAAGGGTAGGATGGAACTTTCTAGGGTAAGGAAATGTATCCTGATTGTAATGGTTGGGTGTATGTATTTGCCAAACTCATCAAATTGTATGATTAAAATGGGTCAATTTTTCTGTGTATAAGTTACATCTCAATAAAATAGACTTAAAAAAATGACTCATCAAAAACAGTAAAATCACAATGAGATACACGACACATACACTCACAAGAATAGCGAAAAATTTTTAAACTGATCACACCAAGCACTGGCAATGATGTAGAGCAATTGTGCTCTCATATATTGAGGGTGGAAATGTAAAATGGTACAACCACTTTGGGAAACAGTTGGCAGTTTCTCAACAAGCTAAAATCACACTTACCACACAGCCTAACCATTCCATTCCTTGGCATTTACCCATGATAATTAAAAACATAAGCCGCGTGAAGACTTACACATAAGTGTTCCAAGCAACTTTATTTATAATAGCCAAAAACTCTAAATGGCTCAATGGTCTACCAACAGACAAATTGTGTCTACCAAACAACACACTGTGGCTTATCCATACAACGAAATAATACTCAGCAATAAACAGGAGCTAACTGTTAGAATCAAAATATAGATGAATCTCAAAACACTATGCTAAGTGAAAGAACACAGACACAGAAGAGTGATACTATATGATTCCATTTACTTAAAATTCTAGAAAAAACAGCTGTAATCTGTGACAGAAAGCAGACCAGTGGGAGGGAAAGTGACCGACTGCAAAGTAGTATGAGTGGACTTTTTGACATAATGGAAATGCTTCTATATTTTTATAACAGTGGTGGTTACATGAACCTATTTGTGAAAACACTTAAAATAGGTAATTTTATTTTATGTAAATTATTCCTCAATAACCTTGATCTAAGTTTTTTTTCTCTTATTCAATAAAAGTAGCTAAAACTAGGAAGACTTTGGATGGAGGTGGGCAGAGCCTCCCAGCCTTCCCCTTCAGAAGGCTAGAAACTGTCTATGGCTAAGAGGACAACCTCTTAACTGATAATCTCCTAACTGCTAAGCAGTTAACCTGCCCAAATCATAGTCTAAAGGAACAACTCCCCTTGTCCATCCTCAGATTCATCCTAACTGGAGACCTAGCTCTATCTATAAGGTTTTGAGAAGAGTACAGCAACCTCCAACAACTTCGGATGGCAGGAACACAGAACTTTAGGCTCAGGATCCACTGAAAAAGTGCCTCTTCCTCCCTGACCAGCACAACTTCAAACAGCAGGGCTAGCAGGTACACAGCGCACCCTGGTGGCCAACTTTTTTCTAAACAGGCCTTTCATAATTTTAAATTAGAGCTACATGGTATATAATTTTAAATCATCTAATAGCCACACTTTAAAAAGCAAAATAATAATAATAATAATAATAATAATAATAATAATAATAATAATAATAATAATAATAATAATAATAATAATAAAATAATTTAACCTAATACATCAAGAATATTATCGTTGTAACACGTATCAATATAAAATTATTAATTAAGATACTATACATTCGTTTTTTCGTACAGAGTTCATGAAATCCTGTCCATACTGGACAGTTCAGCTGTAAAGGATCCAAAACTCTCACCTTTTCACATCCTGATGGGGGAGTGTATCGACCTGCCTACTAATATCCAATGTTTAATAACACATTTGCAAAGCACTTTTACAGATCTAATCTGATCCTCTAAGAATGTGTGATGTGGGAAAGGCAAATGAGGAAACAGAATATAGTAACTTTCCCAGGTTGTCACCCAGGCTAGACAATAAAGATGTGACAGGGACCCAAGTGTCATAGCCTGGGAAT